ACTATTTATGACAATTATTTATGACATGCTGTCATCTCGTAACAGCGGGTACAGTGTTCCAGACAGGTCGACAGCTGACTCAAAGTTGACGAACTCGACAAAAAGGACTCACTTCGAAAGGTTGTCTGCCTAGCAGCAAACCCAAATCGCTAAGAACTACAAAGATTATTGAAAAAGCGTTCTTTAACTATGTTATAAGAGACAAAACGTCAAAAACCAATAAGCCGTGTATCCGTGGAAGAAACATTGTCGTCATCAAATAACTTGCGAACGTCGCTCCAGCGGGCAAAGACAAGCAGACAGTGTATCAGAGCTGTAAAACGCATCTATGCAATCCTTAAGTAATACAACTTACAGCAGGAATATGCGGGATTTTGAAGCCTCTGCGACTGCCAACTGCCGACATCGATGATGAAGCGAAATCGGTGCTTGACAAACGGACTGGCGGAGGCGGATCGAAAGACGAATAGGCACTATGTTGAGGGGACATGTCACAGACGTCTCTGACGTCGTTGCGGACGTACCGACGATCGCACAGCATGGAGGAAGAAACTTTAGGATTCTAAAACAAAATTTCATTCAAATACAAAACGACACCAAAGCCGTCTCTACTTACTGCAGTCATCGCATAAGCCAGTAATCCGGTGGCTGATGTTGCTAACGCGAGAAAAGGTCTGAAGGTAGACTGCAGTTATAATTTCATACGCTAAACCCTACTCGTAGCGGAGCGAATAAAAATTAAAGATAGGAAACAATTATCTTTGTTAAATTTTATAATTTGCTTTCCTAGTGCTTGCAGATTAAAAGAGGAATTACTGTAGTGCCACGATCATGCATTTTTACTATAGCTATAGCCCACCGTTGATGCGCGAACATCCAAACTGCTCGAGTCAACACTGTGATGCGGTTTTGCATCCATGCACTACATATGAACAAATGCCATCCGGCTGTTAGATTGGTTAGGTTAAATGGTCCCCGGGTATCTACAAGCAACGGAAAGGCGCGCGTCGTATAACCATGTGTAATGACTCGTTCAGTCATTTTTTTTGCAGTATCTGAGACTTTCACTATCCTCCAAAAGACAAAAGTATTTCACTCCTAATCTAAAAGGATAATGTGGCGAAGGACGGCCCGAAAGAGAGAAGAGTATGGGAAAGCATATTGTGATTGAAGTAACAGATTTGACTGCTGAATATCGGCAATCATGCTGAACGACTGCAAAGAAATTAAAGAAAATCTGCAAACGGTAGCAGGTGGGTGACACCTATACCACCATAACGAATTTCACTGCTGCTACCCGTTCCGTTCTTCGGATGCATTTTACAGTGCAAACTGACCTCCGTTTCGAGACCATTGGCTGGTGGCTCTTTTATATAATAATGGCGGTTTCCGCAGCCATATGGCAAGAACATTGTGCTGCAGTTTGTTTTTTTTTCCGGTTGCATTCACAGCAGTTTTAGTTTATCTATCCTGTAAAGATGAATAGTGCACTGCACCGGTCGTGAAATTCTAGAAGTCAAATGTCATGAGGAACTTTGTTGTGTCGTCTCTTCATTGTGAGATACCCATCCGAACAATTCCGCAACTGCAACAGCAAGGTGAAACAGTAGGAGGTCGACCAGTTTAAGTAACCGGTTCAATAATTTATGAAGCCGTTAGGAACCAATGTTGTTGACGAGGATAGCTCTTGGTTCCCGTGTTGTAAGTATCCGGTTCACTATCTGAACTGGAGTGAGACAGCAACACTCATTTCCGCAAAAATCTGTGCACACCTTGCCTCGGTCAGATGAGCACTGTTATACTGCAAGGCTACCATAGTTCTGACCAAGGTCCGAGAAAGGCGGTTTAACAACGTGCAACTGCGCCGACCATAAGGCCTGATGGTCATCTTAAATGGCAGGACAACGTAATAAATGACTATCCTCTCTCGATACAGGTATCGTCTGCAGATGCAAAGATCAGGAAAATGAGGCCAGTCCGTTTAAACAAACTAGCTGAGCATAAACGTTTAACCCATTGTAGGTACCTAAACATAGTGAACATCGACCAGGAAACTAGCATGCAACACTGAAGAACAAGGTAGAGGCAGATCCTCGTCCGAAGAAAAACTGTTCACTGTACAAAGCAATGATTGGCATATTTGATAAAACTGTTGAAAAACCGAGAACGCAGCAAATAACAACAAAAATAGCTTGAGCAACTGACAAAATTTGTCATTCCATCAAATTACGTTATTCCACGAAAAGCAAAGCAGTTAGTTAAGAATCTTGTTAAAGTTAGATCAGTTACACGAATGGAACTTTAAAAAATTCGATTTTAAAAAGCAAACCAAAATCGCAAATAAAACACTGCACAAGCCAGCAATAAAAAATCAAATATTCAGAATGACAAAGAAATAAAAAGAAAAAATGAACACAGAGGAACGAGATAAAGTGACCGAAACAAGAAACAAAATGGTTGCTGCGCCCCAAACATTGTAAACAGGTTCTTTCTAAGGATTGGAATCAAGGACATGATTATATGGACCTGATAGGGTTTTCGGTTCGTGCATAAATGAGTGATGCTCTGACCTGATAGAAGAGCTTCGACAGGCCTCTTTACAGCATAATATGCTGTGGCTGTTACCGAAGACGTAAAATTTCATTTTAAAATTATCAGATATTGTCTGTTTGACTATATGCAGAATTATGTCATCATCATTACAAACAAGTCTGCGATGTCACTGTCCGAGAGAAGAAGTTAAAGTGGCAATGGCCTGTACGCCTGGTTGTCAATTTTAGTGGCCGTCTAAGGACCTTGAAGTACAATGGCAACGAATCCGGGCAGATTGTAGCAGCCGCTTAGACCAGGAATGGAAGATTACATAGAAAATCTATTTGACAGCAATACTGAATACGTATAGGTTTCTAGTAAAACTGAACTGAGAACCTTCTGGCTATTAGTTTAACGTGCTCGTTACCGGTGAAATCAGAACTTGCAACGCAGCTCAAATACTTTGGGTGGTTACTTACAGGAATAATCGCTTTATGCATGGGTAGCTATGCGCTTCCACATCTAACAATCTGAGGCTCCTCGTGTTTCTCAGTATGCAGATATATTTACTACTTTTTCCAAATCTAGAGTCATAATACTGAAATTGAAATAATACTGCATATTATTAACTGTGCATGAATACTCCTTGCAGTCTTCCGATGATCTTAGAGATCTGACCACTGCCTCTAATCCGTACAATGGAAGCAGCAAAGCGGTGGGGGCAGAAATAGCTATTGGTGAACATGTGGCATGCACGAATGGTGAGTAAGAGGACGGTTTCCAACTCTGGAAATACCGAGTTCGACTCC